ATCCTGAATGAACATAAACCATTCTTGTTTTTGCATAGTATTTAGGAAAACTTCTTTCACTTAATATTGAAAGCATCATTTAAGCCTTTCAGAGCGTCTTCCTGTGAAATTCTCCTCCAGGCTTTAGGAACATCTGCTGGTTTGGCCTGATATTTCTTAGCAAATTGATCATTATATTTCACCAGGATGTACTTCCAGTAGTCTGAAGCCTCAATGCTGGGGTCTGGTGGAATGTGCCAATCTGGATAAAATGTTCTGTACTCTTTGTAAGGATGAAACTTTGAGTCAGTGAGTGAATTTTTGAATTTAGCATTACTGTGGACAAGAGTTGTACAGAGTTCTGGAACAAGCTTGGTGGTTTCAATGTAATTGTATCTACCCAGACCTTGTGGTCGATGTATAGCTGCACTGTGCAGCTTGTGTTCTTTGCCTCCAGCTTCACATGGAGCTTTACAGAATGGACACTGATTCCCACATCCAAAAACTCGCTTGAAAAGTTCATCCTGAGGTTTAACTGTCAGTTTTTTCAAAATTTCAGTGATACCTTCAGATGTAAAGTATTCATTCTCCAGCTCATTTGCCAGGTTCTCTAATGCCATCTTGACACTATTGATAAATGGGTGACATGTGCTTTGGATTTGAAACATGATTGTTTTTTCAGCTTCAACTGGAATTGAGATTTCTTTGACCAAATGTTCTCTGATGTTTTTGATGAGCTCTTTAGTGCTTTCAGTGTCATCTGGCAGAGGAACTCCACTTGGTCTTTTAGATGCTGCTTTTATTGCATCTGCAATTTTCTCAGTTATGATTTTGAGGTTCCTGTTCTTCAGCTTGTTCAGTGTTTCATTCTGTTTTAGTTGTTGCTTTATGTGCTCATATATCCAGTTCTTCACATATATCTCATATTTATTGATGTACTTTACAAAACATTCAAAGTCATCCTTCTCCAGCAACTCTTTCTGAATGTTGTACTGGAAAAATGAGCGAGAGCTGTACTCTGCAGAATGTTGGCTCGTTAAGATCTCATCCACAATGTCTACTCCCAGAGATCTGTTGATGAAATCTTCCACTGCTGGTTTGATACAAAGCTTAATGTAATCATTGGCTTTGCGTTGACAGTCATCTCTCTCTTTGTACAAATCAATGAAATCTGACAAGTACCCAGGCTTGAACTTCTCCAGCTGGTTTTTAGGATTCAGGTTTGACAGAAACTTCTGGTGCATTTTCAGGAATTCTCTTGAAGCGATGCCACAAACGTGAAGCTTCAAATCAATCTCATACTTTGTATTTGTTTTGTGGTGTTTGTGGTTTTGGTCAACAAACGTGTGAACATTTTCTAGTAGCTCTCTTGTGAAAGAGTCATGATAATCTTGATTTGCTTCTACCTTACTTTCTAAAAGCTGTGTAGAGGATTCCAGAAAAGAATCAGTAGAGAATTGCAGATCTTTCTTCTTTATCTGTTTCAGAACAGGGACCTTAATCTGCCAGCCATCAATATGTTTAGATTTAGCTTTGAATTTTTGCAAACCTTCATTATTTAAGTCCACGTTTACTAATTCCTGATTTACATTTCGATTAGAGAAATTTTTCCTCAACTGCTTGAGGACACATCCAGCAATGTCTCGTTCTTCTAAGCCAGACAGATTAGCTGTAGATTCAGACCACATCTTCTCAAACTCTTTTGTCAACTCATCTTCAGACAGGGTGGAGGCTTCTTTGCACTTATATAGGAGCTTCATGACAGCCTCTTCAATCAGGACTCTGTATTTTCTCTGTAGCTCTAGAGCTTTCTTCGTGTTTACGATCAGCTGAAGAGTACATTCTAGTTTAGTTGTCACTGAAAGTTGAATTTCATTAGCAAGGCGATCGATACTATTCTGAAAGTCAACTTTGTACTTCTCTATCAGGTTTACACGTCTGTCAGTCCTCTTGTAGTACTCATCAAGATTCTCTTTCATTTTCTTCTCCTCATTTGTTATTTTATCTGACACTTCCTGTTTTTTCTTTTCAATCTTGTTAGTTAAAACTTCTACATTTGACTCAGTGTCAATATTTAATATTTCTACTTCTGTTTGTTGCTGCCAGGAGTAAATCTCTTTTCTGAACTTCCATTCCCATTGATTGAACTCTTTACACAGGTTGTCATAAGCGTGAGCCACCAGGGTGTTTCTGAAGCTGAAGATGAAATTTTCATATTTAACTGCCCTCCAAAGACTTGTTACCCATTTTAGAAATTCTGGGATCTGATTGGGTTCACTGGTTTTGTTGCTCTTTATTGTCTCCAGAAGATATTTCTTGAATTCAGCAACAGTTTCGCTGTAACCAGTGTTTACTGGAGCCATTGGTGGAGTGCCATGCCAGAGACCTGGGATGTTCCAGTTGTTTTTTTCCACATCGTAGTCCAGGATATCAGTGAATAGTTTATTGGTTGGAAGTTTTTCCATTTGAGATGCAATCTGAGTCATTTCATTGAGCTGATCCAACAGATACTTTCTCTCAGTCATGCATTTGGAATGAGCTGAAACTACACCAACATTTTGGTGAACAAAGTGACAAACTGGCTTTTTTCCTATTTCTTTCATTCTCAAGAATGCATGAACTGCAATTTGCAGGATATCTTTCATTTCAGTTGAGTTCTCCATTGCTATATTGATGATGGCGATGTCACTTAAACCAATGACAAAGGTTGCCAGCTGGTTGTCATGTTCATAACTGTTCTCAAGTTGAGCCATCTGAGGAGACTTGAGACCTTCTGTATCAATGAGAACTATGAAATCATAATCCAGTTCACTTTTGTAATCTTCATTAACTCTGAGGAAGATCATGTAAGCTCCTCTTGTACATCTGCCACTGCTGACTGGAAACTGGACACCAAACATGGTGTTGAGGAGCGTCGACTTCCCAGAACTCTGAACACCCAGAACAGCTAGTACCAGCAATCTGCTCCTGTTTCCAACTTTCTTATGGACCTCATTAAGTACAGCCAACAACCACTTTTCTGGGACGTTGGAAGCGTCTCCATCCAGAAGCTCTAAAGGATGTCCATCCATCACCATCTCAGCAGCCAAATGAGGGAGACAAGAGATTTCCTCAGTGTTTTCTTGCAAGAACTCGTATATCAGTCCCATCTCTCTCATGAAATGCTCGATTCCTAAAGAGCTTTCTAACAGAGCCTGGTCCAGCTCTTTAATGAGTTCTGGGTTTTTGTTTTTGCACTGTTCTTTGAATTGATTTCGCAGTTCAGACAGTTTTTCTCTTGAGTGAGAGTCAAGTTTGAGTTTCAACCACTTCAGGAAAAAATCTCGTTCTTCTTTCTTGCTTGTGGAAATGTTATTGATGAAACTCTGAAGTCCTTCTGAAAGTTTGCATTCTGCTTGTTGCTTTTTTATTTCTTTTTCTTTTTCTTGGATTTTTGATTTATAGTCTTCTGTTCCTTTGTCATCACATGTATTTATTCTACATAGGTTCATTTGTAACCTTGATAAACTTTTCCAGGTTTCTCCCTGAAAAGGCAGGTTATCTTTCTTGTAGTCAGGTATACTCTGCAGCCCGATTCCTCTCATAATTTCTTCAGCCGCTCTCTCTTGTTTTCTACTTATGGATTCATCTACTAACAGTCCGAGTTCAAAAGCTTTTTCACGGATGATGTTTGGACCATTCTCTGTCTTTGCATTCACCAAAGATTTTTTTATACTTCCACAAAGTTTTCTTGAAAATTCTGCTCCATTTTCTTTGCTTTTTTTCACCATCACATTGCTCATAAGGAAATCAATCTTTTCCAATGTTGTCTTAAGAGACATCATCTCCTCCCTGTTCTGCTCCTTGCCATTCACAACCAAAAACAGTTTATTTTTCACATCTCCAGTTGAAGTCAAAGTTTCCTGCTCATTTTCTTCAACTTTGTCCAAAAACACAAAGATAGCTGCAGAAACGTGAACAAGAAAACTGAACTGTGCATGTGACTCACTAATGTCTCCTCTCAGATTAGCAAAGGCGACTGGCTCTGGAAAAATGTCCAGATTTTCTTTCCCACTGGGAAGGAACCAGCAGATCTCCACCAGTCCATCAGATATCTGTCTTTTAATTGTTCCTCCCTCCATATCTCTGTGTATGAAGATATTTTGATTCTGTTGGCCCTGACTGAGAATGTGATTCAGGATCTGAGATTTTGACAAACTGCTGTTTTTCAGACGAACAAAAGAAAATAAAGGAATATTGGCTTCAATGATGACGTCCTCAATGAAACCTTTTGATTCTGACAAAACATGAGGACACCACTCTTTAACAATGCCTCTGAGAGCCCAAAGCATCAGGCTGCACTGACTGTTGTTGCTATGAGGCAACAACAGTGGCACAGAAAACTGACACATTGACATTCGGAGAGACATTTCTTGCTGCAAGAAGCTGTCAGCACAAAGGAAAAGTGCTACTATCAGGTCGAGAGCATTAACACCACTGTGAGTGTCTTCTGTAGTACTAAGGCTTATGCCAAGGGGATCATCAGTTTCTTCATATTCACCAGCTTCTTCAACTGGCAATTGAATACATCTTCTACATTCAGCATTGATCTTTAACAATTTTTTGAGAAAATACCATGGAATGTCCTTTAGAAATGAAGTTGAATTTTCATACATGCTGTCCTTGTTGATCTCCAACAGAGATCGTAGAGTCAGCTTGTTGGGATAAAAATCTTCCAGTCCAAGTTTGGAGAGAGTGTTGGACAAACCTAAGTCAAAAAAAAGAATCACACTTAGAAATTTGCAGGCATCTTTCTATAAATAAGGATATCAATGAAAAGTTAAAAGTGGCACATGGGTAGATTTATTATCATAAACTACAACAATTGAAAATTCTATGTCTTAGAA